GTCATGAGTCACGACTCGTAGCGGCATCCTGTTTTATTAACGACCTCTATGGGTGTACAACGTCTGTGATAATTTCTTATATGAAGAGGTTGAATTGTTGTTCTCTCACTTTGTCCTTTCATACACAGTTTATGGTGTCAGTTTTACATAAGGCTTTGTGAGAATGGTCACTGCCAAGTATTGATTGGTATCAGTGTTTGGTGAAACAGTGTGCGATACAACTTGCAGCAGATCCATTCATAGTAGCAGACTCCTACTATGAATCTATTCTAGAATCTTGAACTCAAGACTGACGCTGCTACTAGCAGTGTCAATACAAACACAAGCGGACTTGTCGAAGTTGTCTATTGGAACATCCTCGAGTTCAACGTCATAGATTTGTTTACACGGTGAGCTCTGGTCAATCTTGTTTCGCCACTAACTAACACGACAATAACTTTTTGGGAGACTTTATGTGAACATTTGGAGGAAACTTATCAACATTTCGCAATAAAGAAATTCAACAGAAAGTTAGTTCTTGTTCTCAAGGGCCATCATCTTGTCAATTCTCTTCTGATGGCGTCCTCCCTCGAAGTCGGTGTTGATGTAACTGATACCCATTAGTAAACAATGAGGAAATGTAATTTCTTACGTAGCAAGAATCTCTCGCGCAACCTCAACACCCGTGGTACGACCGCCCATAGCAAGAACCTGAGAGTGACCATGCATACCGATGCAATAGGCAGATGAGAGTAGCCTTACGTTGGCGTTGTTGTGGAGACGACTATATCGAGCATCGTAGTTGCTGGAGCACAAAGCACACCTGGAATAGCAACAATACGATTGAGCATGTTAATGGTGGCTACAATGGAATAAGATGAGTACCATGAACTGCTCATCCCATGATCGATTACCTGATTCCTTTGCACTTGTTAGCGGACATCGAGATTCCTAGACCAGATCCGCAAATGACAACACCCAACGCCTCTGAAATGACAGTAAATGATTCCATGCTGGCCTATTCTGAATCTTGCAAGATCAACCACAAGATACTCGACTCCATACAAGACTAATACCCGCTTACTGGTAGTATCATTGGAAATGCTCAGAAGAGTCTTGCAAGCTTTCTCAGCGAAATCAGGGTAGTCGATCTAAAAGAATTTCCATGAACGCCTTCAACTATTCCCACGACTTTACCGATTCATGCGTGTAAGTGCCGACATCCGTGATGCACCCCTCAGGGGCCTTCAAGACGTTCTTGACGAACTGAAATGGAATGAAGTAAAAGTCTATAGAGGTGCAGAAGGTCTACATCGATCATCTCATTTTTCAAGTCGATGCCGGCGTGGTCAGAACCGAAGACCAACTTCAAACCGTTCTGCAAACGGGCGGTGGCGGGCTCGAAAAGTAGCTTCTGGGGAGTCGACATGAGGAGGCACTATAAACTGAGCAATATCAGATTCATACGTATCGTTGTACTTGTGGTGGCCAGCGAGCTATGTGATCTCGTCAGCGCAGAAAAAGCGCGCGCCCAAAAACTCGAAGGAGTATGTAATTGTGACAGCCAAAGCCTTTCAACACCAATATGTTTAACGGATAGTTCTCATGGATTGACTGAAGCTACTTTACGAGGAAACTTCCCCTCATGTCTTCTTAAGTTCTCCTGAGGAAACTTTCCTCGTGAGTAATTTCACCTCGGCCTACGGCAGTGAACTTCAGCCCACCCTCCCACACCACGATGGAGATGATATGCGAGTCAGCTTTAAGCTCCATGACTCGCGATCATCTCGCAGTACACGCTTATCAAACTCATCACAGCTCGAGGCCCTGACTGGACGTCGGTGTACGACCCCCGTCGAGATCATCTCCTGTTCCCAGGCTACAGGCCGCGGGTCACAGTTTGATGGTTCGATCTAGCATTCTTCTGCTCAGCTTGCCCGAACTCCGTGGTTGTAGCAAAATGCGGCACCTTCGACCAACTTGTGATATTTCCAAATGGTGAGGAGTACCATTCAGGTACGGAGGGTGAAATAGCCACGCACAGGAGATGATATTTGCGTTTCTAGCGAGCGCAACTTGGTTTTGTGTTATGGGTTCATGGAACAGAGCAATTCATCAGGATGGGGACTATGATGAGTTATGAGCTCAAAGCTCAAATCTTCGGATAGTTCAGAGTAACGTCCTCCCAATTTTCTTCCGGTCCCAAACCGCCCGTACAGGAGAGACCCAGCTGCAGGCTGGATGCTTTGGATGCTGCATCCGATTATGTTGCGCTGGGAATCATCACACCATTTTCGATTACGCGGGCCTGGGCCATCGGGATATCCGTTATTAGAAGCACGATCTGGTGTGTTAGGAGTCGCTTTGCATCTATCCCGAACACCCAGGTTCGATACGAGCTTTCGTTTTGCCGGCAATTGAAATCGAATGGTGGGTAATTCAATTGCCTCTCTCTCCCAGTCTCCTTTGTGCAGACGACTTGACTGCTGCGAAAAATCAGGGAATATACCGAGAATTTGTATATGTATGCGATAGCTGACGTGCTCGAATTAGTGCAGTGACTGCAGTAATTCAAGCACATCACTCACAGTTTGGTGATGAAGAGTCTCTTCATTCTATTCTCGGAATGGCTGAATGAATCGTTCAACGCTACCAGGCAAGAATCGAGCGCTGAACTAAAATGATATAGTGTGATTATCACAGCAGCTTCAAGCCGCTGTGATAATCACAGTGTGATTTCTGTGTTGTGTATGTGCTACAGTGACAAGTTGTCACTGACAACACCTGTTAACCATCAGCTGCTGCCTCTTGTGACACTGTACGAACTAGCACACGAGTTGGCGGTTACGGTTGACGGTCGCACATCGCTGATGTTATATTTCTATTCCACTACTAAAAGAACAACATTTATATCCTTTTGAACAGTGAAGATCACTGCAACAGCGATCGTGATTCTGGACTATGGTTGTCCTAGGTTTCAAGACCATATCTGAATTGTGTTCATAAGCAAGGATAGAGAGCACCATTCAGAGGCTCTCGATGAGTTCCGAGATGTATGGATGATCGTGATATTCGAATTGAGTTAAGACGCTGTGTAGAGAAACCCGTCAGAGCCGGCTATATTCAGTGCGAGTGAGTTTGCCGAGCATCGATCCCTTCAGAAGCCACACAGTATATGACCAGAAATGCGATTTCGAGCAAGTAATTGGGGTGATCAATGGAGTCCATCATGTTGCCCATTGTTGGTGAGTACTTAGATAATAGATGCCACGAAGTAATCCACTAAATTAAACTTCCGATGTAGTCTAGCTGGTTAGGATTCGTGGCTCTCACCCACGCGACCGGGGTTCGAGTCCCCGCATCGGAACTTTTCGCATAGAACACATCAATCCCATCTAACAACGATAAACCTGCTGCACCCGCCAGAGCCCAAGCATATGGTTCAGCCAATCTCTTCACCACCAAGCTGTGAGTGACCGAATGACTGCAGTAATTCAAGGACATCAGCTATCGCTTGCGTATACCAATTCTCGGTGAATTCCCCAACTTTCCGCAGCAGCAATTTGTATCGCGGATCCCTGATGATGCCACTGACGATCATTGAGATAATTGACGTGCCCGTGTTCCAATATGGATCGATGTTAAAGTTCTGCAAATGCGATGGTACAACGACACTCATGAAGTGAATAAACTCAACAATTCGTGTGTTACCTTTGATATGCGCACTTAACCACGACACTATCCCCAATCCAAGTGGAGTACGCAGATCGGAATACGCTATGGAAAGCCAACACTCAGCCTTCCCGCGTCCCGATCTTTCATGAGCTCTCCTCTACGAGCAATTTGCGGTGCGGGAAAAACACATCGTCAATTGTATGAACAGGTGATGATAGGGGGAACTTCGGGAAATTCTTGTCGAGTTTTGGACACTTCTGCGGTCAGGAATTTGTGAACCATCATAATGTAGCTTTGGAAACCCCTGAGCTCAGCAGAGAAAACCAGACACATATCCCACCACAAAAACCCACAAAACCTTTCAAAACTACATCAACCAATACATAACTAATCGTGGAAACGATACCGTTTCTTCGCCGTCAGAGCTCCTATAAGAACACCTCATCCGGATGCAGCGTATAGAGATACTCGTAAATCAAGCCATTCCCTTCACCTTCTAATTACGCTGATCGAGGAGCAGCGGTACGATTGCTGTAGTCCACTTACCCACAAACTGATATTGACTGTAAAAATGGGCCCGAATGATCAACCTCGCTATGTTAATAAAACTCCTCCGATCCTTCCTGAGGCTGCGTTATCAACTAACAGTTCTCTACCACAGAATTCCAAATATACAGTTTCCGATTAGAGAACACCGCCATTAGAGAATTAGTGTTGGAACATCCTTCCTATAGTTCCTGAGGCAAACGTGTTTGGTTTCTCGCGCTGAGCTGAAGAGTCTCCTCACTAATCACGGACCACACGAATTCCAATAAAAGTGTACCGAAACATAAAAGAATTTCCTAAAATTTACTCCGAATTTCCATGTTGTCACCAACACACGTAGTTGGCCATGTGCATACTATATATTCCCACACTGGAAGCCGCAGTCACAAATCGGAGAACCACAGCAACCAAAAGCGAATCGCGTCCTCTACCCATATGTTGGACCCAGTAATATCATCACCGAGCTTAGTGCAGTTCCATCATGTTGATTCTGTAGACAAGCTCAGGGGACTCGGCATTCATAATGATTATCAGCATTACAAAGGGCTTTCCACAACGGACACTCTCGTTAATAACTAAATGAAAACCTCATGTACCGAGTTGATTCACTCACCCCTACCCCAGCTTCCTTCCCTAAGATTGTTATTCCCAATCTTTCGCAGACTATCGTTTAGATCAATGCACATCACATACGAATTGAATAACGCTACAATCTTCCTAAGACGTTGGTAAGGTGACCCAATGGCGCAGGAAAAAGGGACAATTACAGACAGTACGGTCACTATTAGAGTACCACTCCTCTACCATCTTCCCTTGCCCTTACCCTTCCCAAAATGACCCTTACCCTTACCTGAGTACAGCAGCATTATGACATGAATTCTCTGAGATCTTACCCTTGCCCTTTCCAAAGCCCTTGCCCTTTCCTCCTTTACCCTTGCCACCTTTACCCTTACCCCCAGCGGCGTGCTCTAAAATAGACACAATTTCCCTTCCCTCCTACACTTGGACTACTCTTAGGGCCGATACTCTTCTTAACAGGAAGGAACCGCTCCAGAGGAAGAGTTTGGTTGCCATCAATGTAGACCTGTTCATGGTCAGAGATTCTGCACGCATGCGCAAAGCCAATGGCTCACCTTTTGGCCAGTCTTGAAGCTTCTAGCAACAACACCATCCTGCATCTTTACAGAGAAGTAGAACTCATTGATGGGTCCGAGAATCTCATCCACTTGCCCGATTTGACTCTTTGTTCTCGAGGAACACACGTCCATTGAAGTAAGGGACTTTAGTGTGGGTACCTACATCGCGAAGTGAAGGAAGAGTGGTATGATAATTAATATATTACACTTCGCAGATCATCTCATCTTCACAGACGTGGATCATCTCTCCGAGTTCTTCTACCCATTCAGGGGGCCCAAGAGGGGCGCGGTGACCCTTACCTAACACCAACAGCCGATGCAAATACAGCGTTGCACATCGCGACCCGATTGGAGTTTCACCTGTTTTACATTAAGTGGCGTAAAACTCGGTGAGAAACGCGAAGTTCACGATATGCAGTAGTCGTGAAATATGTTTTTCACTAGTGGTTTTCATATCACGGGTGATAATCCGTTAAATTCCACAACGGCAACCTATGCTCAGATGATGACCGCCAATCGGTGGCTTATTGATGTGGTGCACAACGACATACTAAATAGAGCGTCCAAAATGTGATTATCTATACGTATATTCTCAATGCAGTTAACAGCAGCTCCAGCAGAGCCATTCATAATGTCCCCGAAATTAATCATGACATGAGTACCATCCTCATACCACACCTTCACCAAATCTCTCCTCCCCCCAGACACTTCTCGAGCATGAGAAGTTTTTAAATCACAACACGACGAGACTGTGATGAGCGCGTTTGTGACTACCTTTGCCTTTTCCACCTTTTCCTTTGCCGAATCCACCTTTCATTATGATGATCTATATCAATGACGATTACCGGGGACGCTTACCAAGAATTGAGGAAATACAAGTAGTACTAAGTGCTCAAGATGCGCTCTGTGTTATGAAAACCGATGTGTCTCATCAACGTGAGTGCTGTGCTCTCCCGTGTGCTTAGTAGACTGAAACGAATAGATCGAAAATGCATGCCGTAGCGTTCGGTGATAAGAGTGGGATCCTCCCACAATGAGTCCGCTCACTCGCCCAGCACGACACAACGCTCCGTCGAAGCGTTCGCGGATTTCTCAGTCCAATTATTGCCTACCAATTCACGCGCTCAAATCTGGAAATAGAGCAGCCTCGGGGCTCATTTCCGCCAAGAAATTAAACATTTGTTCGTCGTGAAGTGAAAAACTAGTGCGAAGCAAATAGCGGGAATTTCAGGGGGTTAATGACTGCGCAACTTTTTTCGGAATCCGAATCTGGCTCTAGCGCCCTCTAGTGTTCAGCATAGTGCGCTTTTCCTTCCCTACACTGACTTGGTCAGTATCAGTTTGCTATTCATAGTTACTCGTGTCATCGTACCTACCATCGACTCCCTATGTAGTGCCTTACGTAATAGATAGCCCTATGGAGTCGATAGTATGATCCGTACAAGGACTGGCATCCACGATATGTTATCATACCTTACCATGTATTCGATTTATTCTTGCATGTAGTGTATCGAGTTCGCAAACGGTATTATACAGTATATTGGCATCGATTCTATGTTATTTGTATCGTATTTGGCATGGCACAACTTGTGGGAGAGGGCTGCTGAGCTTTCTCGCAATCGTAGGAGTTTGCTATTGCGTACTCAAGGACGATAGGCTACTAGGCCCATAATCATGCTTCTCAATAGATACATACCCAAAAGGGGCGATTTTGAGTAACAGGATTGGTTCCTTGGCTCGAGAAAATCGCGAACAATCACATAGGCAATCTGAGATGGCATGAATCGAGCTGGTCACTTGAGATTGGTCACACTTGAGAACATAGGTAAAAAGATGGGAGAATTTTAACCAAGACTCAAGTGAAGAATAGTATCATTCACTTCATGTATCCTTAAGATACAACCAGTGCAACTATTCGAAGCTAATTTGAGAATGATATCAATGAATCTTGCAAGCGCCAGAAGTAACTCACGTAAAAGCGGGGAAAACGTTATGTCTTCAGCATCGTCATGCTTCCTCTCCGAAAGTCGCTACCGGAGAATTCCTTTCCGCCAAATTTTCTCTTAAAAAAGCTTCCGATGACCTTCGACACCCCAGAAATCTAACGCGACGTGTGAAACTCCGAATCGGCTCCGAATTTTAGGCAGTCATCTCTGAGATTCGGAATAAGAAGATGAGTAAGAAAGTTTCGCGCGCCACAAAATTGGCTTTGTGCTGCGCGTTGTCACTAGCGTCTGTCCCCTACGAGTGTCATGCGCGGAGTGTGACAAGTGGAGCAAAAATCTTCCCGTTGCGGGATATCTTGCGGTTGAGGGTGCAAGATTCAAAGTAGGTCCGATAAGGGCTCAAGGTCCGTTGACTCCACATCCATTCTCAGCTTATCCACTTGTTCCATCAGGGTTTCTCCATGTCTTCTCCTATCGACTCCGTCATCATCGAGA